GGCTTGGAGAATTTTGAGCATTACTTTACTAGTGTGTGAGATGAGTGCAATTGTGTGGTAGTTTGAGCATTCTTTGGCATTGCCTTTCTTTGAGATTAGAATGAAAACTGATCTTTTCCATTCCTGTGGCCACTGTTGAGTTCTCCAAATTTGCTGGCAAATTGAGTGCAGCACTTTCACAGCATCATCTTTTAGGATTTGAAATAGCTCCACTGTGCCGGCGTCCAGCCTCAGCAGGATCCAGGGGTACCCTCAGGATGAACGGCGTCGGCGAGAGAGAGATGTGAGACCAGCCTTGATAGGGCCAAGTCTGCAAGGGAGAGAGAGAGAAAGAAAGAGAGAGAGAGGGAGAGAGAGAGAATGACCAGACGGGGGTGTTTGCAGGGTCTGGCAGAGTCTGGCAAATCTTTATTTTTTACTGTAGCTTTATATTCTAAGTTAGTACATTTTTAGGGGAAGAAAGTTTAACATTACATCATCTTGTCCCTCAGGAAACCAGGGTGTTTCCAGTAACTTCTTGTGTCTTATACATTATCTTCTGGCCTCAGGGCCTATTGACATCTTATGACCTAGGTGAATGCAAAGCTGTTTTCCTATAATCTATTCTTTAATGAACACAAAGGTTAGTCCTTTTGCAGAAGTTATTAGTTGAATTTATCTAAAAGGTTTACAACACAAAGACTCTGCAGCTCCGGTGAGGCAGCCCCTGTTTAGCATTCCTGGTTAAAATGAACAATTCTAACCACTTTTAAAATAATATTTTTGCATTACATTAATATGCATTTGCCAAGCAGGCTAGAATGCCAGCAAAGGGGTCTAAATTGAAACACTCCTTTCATCCTGGATAATCTTATAGGATACTGCTGTCCAGGGGACATGTTGATTAAAGTTCTAAGTTGATTCTGTTTGGAGAGAGATCGGGGAAGGCCATCTCCCTGTGTCACAGAGATTAGGGAGTAGTCTAATATAGCAAGCATCAGAAAGACAGAGATCATCTTTAAGGTGAGCGCTGGGGCAGCTTTTCGAAATTCCTGAAGTCCTGATCTGCCTTGCTTGTCAGGCCTCCTCCTCATGACCTTGTCATGGGTGGGATCTCGTGTGCTGGCTCCCGGCAACAGGCACACATGTAGTATTGATTATGATACAAATGAATTTCCTAGGAAATAAAAGACAAGAAATGCAAATCAAAACCACAGTGAGGTACCATTATACGCCAGTCAGAATGGCTGCTATCCAAAAGTCTACAAGCAATAAATGCTGGAGAGGGTGTGGAGAAAAGGGAACCCTCTTACACTGTTGGTGGGAATGCAAATTAGTACAGCCACTATGGAAAACAGTGTGGAGATTTCTTAAAAAGCTGGAAATAGAACTGCCATATGACCCAGCAATCCCACTTCTGGGCATACACTCCAAGGAAACCAGATCTGAAAGAGACACGTGCACCCCAATGTTCATNCTTCCTACTTTTTCATTCCAGTCCCCTACAATGAAAGGGACATCTCTTTTGGGTGTTAGTTCTAGAAGGTCTTGTAGGTCTTCATAGAACTGTTCAACTTCAGTGTCTTCAGTATTACTGGTTGGGGCATAGACTTGGATTATTGTGACATTGAATGGTTTGCCTTGGAAACGAATAGAGATCATTCTATCATTTTTGAGATTGCACCCAAGTATTGCATTTTGGACTCTTTTGTTGACTATGAAGGCTACACCTAACTCTGTCCTTATATTAGCTGTTTCTCTCCATCCCAAACATCTGTCCTGCCAGTTTTTCTCTCATCTTCTGCTAAGAAAACTTTGTGGCTCCTACTATTAACAGAAAGAAAAAATCCCAGATAGAAAGGCTTCATGGTAGATTTTGAGGTCCTCCATGATCTAGCTCACTTGGCCCTTTCAGCTTTGACTCTCTTTATGTCTGTGTGTGTACCTTTTGCTTCATCAGACTTTCCTGGGCTTTCCTTGTGCTGTCTCCCAGCCTCGTTGCCTTAACCGCTCCCGTTCTTTACTGCCTGGCTGACCCACTGAGAGCCTCCATGACCCCTGAGTAGGTTCCAGACTGCGAGACCACTCACCTGGTTTATTCTCCACCCTCTGCTTTAGCTTCCTGGGGTGAGTCTAAGTTGTGGAGAACATTTGTGCAGAAGACCCATCTTACCTATGAACAATTATGCCATTTAAACAGCAGCCAGCATATGGGCCTCCCCATTGAGCTCAAGGCCCAGGACAAGCTGTGACCTTTCTCATCCCCTCTCTCCTAGGATCATGGCCCTAGTTTAGATGCTTTCCTTATGAAGCCTTTTAAAAACCTTTTCAAGCAGAGCTACTCCCTTCTTGGTGTCATGGCAGCAATTTTCTTGTACTTAGGACATTTTGTCTTATTTAATGGTTTTTTGCTGTACACATATTTCTTGCTATTAGATAGGAATCTTCTTCAGGAAAGGAATTGTTATGAATTTTTATACCCTTCCGATCGTAAAGATGATCTGATAGTCCTCAGTATCCATTCTTATCTACTTCTATGTTTCCTAGATTCCCTTATGCTAGAGTTTTAGATGTGAATTACATTTTATCAGTTAGGTGATTTTGCATGATATTTGGAAGATATTGTTACTTGGGCTATTTCTCTTGGCAAATAAGGTTATGGAGTCATGGATGTTGATAGGCAATTTTGGCAGCAATGCGAGGCCACTTCTGGATTCCAGCTTTCTCATTCCTTAACTGCAGCACTGGTGATATATTGAACCCAATAGTTCCAGAAGTTGCTTCCTATTTTTCAATGATTCAACCCATATAATTCTGGGCACTAAATCCCCTTTTGATTAAAATATCCAAAGAAGTTATTTTTCCATTCACTTACTGAATAAGGGTCTCATTAATTTCCCTTGCCTATTACTGCATAATAGATAGGAAAGGCCTTATAAATATTCAGTTGAATTTATTCTGAAGTCAGACTAATTTTCTCCATCTGCCTATCTATTCAACAAATGATGAGGGCCACTAAACTGCAGGCATTAAGTGCTAAGTAGTACAAGTTTGAGTAAGATACGGTCTTATTTCCAGTTTGGTAGGGGAGATAATTACTGTAGTGTAACAAATGATATTGCAGGAATGAGTAAAAATTCAGGGGAAGGAGTGCTTCAAGTATTCAGGGAGGCTGCCTGTAGATGTGATATTTTAGTTGGGACACAGAGGATGATGAGGTTTTTGCCATACTGAGAGAGGGGGGGAAGGTATTCCAGGCTGTTGAATTGTATATTAAAAATATGAATTATTGAAAGTCTATGGTATACTAAGAAAAAGTATTAAATACTCCTTGGAGGGGTCTTTCATGAGATTAGGCTGGGTAGGTCATCTGGGTTAGATTGTGGAGGTCCTGTGTGCCATGCTGAGGAGTATGAACTTTATTCTCAGGTCACTGAAGAGAAGGGAGGTTAAGGTGGTGGAAGTGGAGTAGTGGGAAGAGATTTAAGTGGTGTGGTGGATGTAGAGTTGGCAAGACTTAATGATCACTTGCGGGCTTCCCTGGTGGCTCAGATGGTAAAGAATCTGCCTACAATGCAAGAGACCTGAGTCCAATCCCTGGGTCAGGAAGATCCCCTAGAGAAAGAAGTGGCAACTCACTCCAGTATTCTTGCCTGGAGAATCCCATGGACAGAGAAACCTGGTGGGCTACAGTTCATGGGGTCGCAAACAGTCAGACATGACTGAATAACTAAGCACACATACACACAATGATCACTTGAATATGGAGCTCAATGAGTGGAAGGGGTCAAATTTGACTCCACTGCAGGGGAAGGAGCCGAAAATGATATTTAGATAAATTCCTTTTGACTCCTTGTTATTTGTTTCATATTGATTCTTATTTATTTAAGTGCCTGGGAGCTCAAAGAACAAAGAGATCTTAGAAGTGGAGAAATGAGTTCTTATCCTTGGAAAATGCCTACAAGTGAAGATAGGATGGCCCTATAGTGAAGAAGGAAGAGTCACTGAGGCTGATGCTCACCAATCATTTATTGGGTATTTTAATACAGTCCCATAGACTTTCTCATGAAAGGTTTTCAGGCTCAAGGAGCTAGGGATCAACAGTGTTGGCTTGTTGGAATCTGCCAACAGATGACATGTTTTCTCTCTGTTTCGCGTGATCAGAAACTAAAAGGCATCAAACTGGAATCAATCCAATCAGCTCTCATGATAGGAGCTCAGTGGCCAGTCCTGATGAGGGGTAGAGATATGGGCATGGGGGTGTTGTGGACATCTAGCAGCCTCTCACTGTATTTCATTTTTGTGTAGGCTACAAGGCTTGCAATTCTTGATGGTTTAGCCACAAGAGCTCTTTCAGTCCTGGTATCCTCTCCTCAGGTTATAATGTATATCTTCAGAATGCCTTTCCTGTTTCTGAACTTTTGGGTGAAATTCCTACCTTTCAATGATCCAGTCATGTCCCACTTACACAGAGAACAAACCAGGAAATGATTTAAATCCCCAAATTAATCAAAATTGGGATCTGATTATTTCACCCAGTTTACCACTCAGATTTTACCCAACCAGAGCACCCTGGAATTGCTGATCAAAGAACTGAAATGCCCTAGAAGTGAATACTAGTTCCTACAAGCGTCATTGTGGTTAGATAGAGTAGAGGAGAGAATTAAGATACACATTTTCAATCTTTTAAGCAAAAGTAAGGATGAACTTGATGTGTAGATTTCTTCCTTGGCTTCATGTAGCTTTAGCTCTTGGTGCAATGCACAGCCTAGTGCCAAACCCCTTTCTGCTCTTGTACGTAGTCATAGAGTGGATTGGGAGCAATAGTTGCCTTGATAGGGTGACTTCCACCCTGTTCTCTTCTTTGGAGCCTCCCAGCATTCTGGGTTGGATGGAAGGCCAGGTCACTGTGTCTTCCTTGGGAACTTGGACTCTGGCCATCTTCATTCATATGGAATTTTTCTCTGTTGGCACATCCTTGCTGGGTCCCATGGGATTGTTGATACTGGGACTCTTGATACCTCTCTTTATCCTTATGGGTTTGCCTATCCTGTTGTTGACAGTGTTGATCCTCTTCATGAGTCTGCCTGTCTTGTCTCTGATGGGTCTGCTCATCTTCATGGATTTGCATGTCTCGTCTCTGACCAGTTTGCTGATCCTCACGAGTCTGCCTGTCTTGTCTCTGACGGGTCTGCTGATCCTCATGGGTCTGCCTGTCTCGTCTCTGATGGGTCTGCTCATCTTCATGGGTCTGCCTGTCTCGTCTCTGACTGGTCTGCTGATCCTCATGAGTCTGCCTGTCTCGTCTCTGACGGGTCTGCTCATCTTCATGAGTCTGCCTGTCTCGTCCCTGACGGGTCTGCTCATCTTCATGGGTTTCCCTGTCCCATGTCTCACATGGAGTTTCCTGACCCTCATGACTGTGTCTACTGCGGCTCTGGTGGTCCTGCTCTTCCTCTGCCTGGTGGCTCTGCTTCTCACCATGACTCTGCCTGGTCTGGTCCTGTCTGTGGCCCTGCTCACTACTGTGTGATTGCCAGCCTCTCCCTTTGTGACAGGGTGGCCTTTCTTGCTGAATTTGTGCTACTAGTTTGTGTTGGCTATCCACTTCGGACTCCCATGCCTGGTGACTGTTCTGCTGCCCTTCCCTTGTCTGGAATCTCTGTCCCTGATTTCGGTTTACTTCCTGTCCTTGAGTCTGTTGACTTGGTCTTCCTGGCCTTCCTGATTGCTCAACACGTGAGTCTCTGCTTTTTCCCTCGCTCCCTTGGAAGCACCTATTTTGCCTAGTTTCACCAGTCTCTGACTGACCATATTGGGAGTTCACACCTTGTCTGTCTGTCTGACTATATCCAGTGCTCAGGCCTTGTCTGTCTGTCTCATCATAGCGAGAACTCTGGCCTTGTCTGTCTGTCTGACCATAGTGAGAACTCAGGCCTTGTCTGTCTGTCTGACCATCGTGAGAGCTCAGGCCTTGTCTGTCTGTCTGGCCATAGTGAGAGCTCAGGCCTTGTCTGTCTGTCTGACCATAGTGAGAACTCAGGCCTTGTCTATCTGTCTGATCATAGTGAGATCTTTGACCTTGTCTATCTGTCTGACCATATTGAGAGCTCCAGCCTTGTCTGTCTGTCTGGCCATACTGAGAGCTCAGGCCTTGTCTGTCTGTCTGACCATCGTGAGAGCTCAGGCCTTGTCTGTCTGTCTGACCATCGTGAGAGCTCAGGCCTTGTCTGTCTCTCTGACCGTATTGAGTCCTCAGGCCTTGTCTGTCTGTCTGGCCATAGTGAGAGCTCAGGCCTTGTCTGTCTGTCTGGCCATAGTGAGAGCTCAGGCCTTGTCTGTCTGTCTGACCATAGTGAGATCTTTGGCCTTGTCTGTCTGTCTGACCATCATGAGAGCTCAGACCTTGTCTATCTGTCTGACCATCGTGAGAGCTCCAGCCTTGTCTGTCTGTCTGACCATCGTGAGAGCTCAGGCCTTGTCTGTCTGTCTGACCATTGTGAGAGCTCAGGCCTTGTCTGTCTGTCTGGCCATAGTGAGAGCTCAGGCTTTGTCTATCTGTCTGACCATAGTGAGATCTTTGGCCTTGTCTGTCTGTCTGACCATCGTGAGAGCTCAGACCTTGTCTGTCTGTCTGGCCATAGTGAGAACTCAGGCTTTGTCTGTCTCTCTGACCGTATTGAGTCCTCAGGCCTTGTCTGTCTGTCTGGCCATAGTGAGAGCTCTGGCCTTGTCTGTCTGTCTGATCATAATGGTAACTCTGGCCTTGTCTGTCTGGCCTTGTCTGGCTATAGTGAGAGCTCAGACCTTGTCTGTCTGTCTGGCCATAGTGAGAATCCAATTCTTGCCTATTTCTCTCACCACAGCCTGATTCCTGACCCAGCCTTCCAGACTGTTCATTATAAGAGCCCGATTCCTGTTGGTTTGTGTGGCTATACTTAGGGTCCTCTCTAAGTCTTCCAGACTGGCCATAGCTTGACTGTTGTCCAAGCCTATCAGATTGGCCATAATGAGAATCTTGAAGTTGTTTCTCATACTGATTTAGGGCAAAGACATAGCCTTGTCTTTCAGGATTGCCACTGCCAGATTTATTACTCAGTCTTTGACCAGAGCTGGAGTCCTGATCCTGTCTCTCAATCTGACCATAATGAGAGTCCCTGTCTTGTCCCTCAGTCTGACCATAGTGAGAGTCCTTGTCTTCTCTCTCAGATTGATCTTGGTGGGTTTCCTGGCTTTGCTTCTCAGACTGACTGTGGCAGGAATCCTGCCTTTCTCCCTCAAGCCTCTTCCTGTGTTGTCTGCCTGTATTTCTTGGAAACTTACGGTCTTGTGTTTCCTCCTGCTTCCTTTCTTGCTGAGAGGTTCTATCTCCACTTGATTCATTATCCAGCCTATGATAGCAGGCTTGGGCTAGCTGGAACACCATCAGGAGATATTCATGAAAATCAACATGCTCGTTTCTGTTTCTATCCAAGAGGCTCAAGATGGTTTCCACAGTCTCTGGGTCATTTGGTCTCTGTGTGAAGATAAAACAAGCAAAAAAATCAGATGTTCTCCTATGGATAGTGTCAATATCTGTGCCCCAGTCCATTTAGTCCTGCATAAACCTTCGATTGAGAAATCACTAATCTAAAGTGGTATATTCTTGGTTCTAGTCTTTGATAAGCTGCTTCTCAGAATCTCATCCCTTGCTGGACCAATGGGAGCATGACAATAGGGATAGATACACTTATTTAAAATCAGCTTCATTAATAATTATTTTGAATCATTTGAGGAAGGTGTCCCATTCCATCCCATGCTATGTTGTAATTGTTTGTTCATCTGTTTTTTCTAACCACACTGTGAGATCCTGGAGGGAGGGGAAGCTGGTTTTATTCATGTTTGTATCCCCAATGCCCAGAATAGTGCTGGTATGTAGTAGATGTTCAGTGACTCTTTACTGAACAAATGAATGATGTGATGTGTGGACAGCACTTAAACATAGAAATCAAGATACAAATCTTAGATTTTCTCCTGAGAAATGATTTCCATCCTGAAGCTATACTCCCTCTTCTTTGAACTGAAATAAAAGGAGGTATGTATCTGTGTGTGTGTGTGTGTGTGTGTGTGTGTGTGTATGTGCTGGAAGAGAACTACTAAGGAGCTGCCTGAAATTCTTTTAGTTACAGAGTAGATCATGAACAAATAAAACAAAAAGCATGACATTCTAAAGGCAGGTGTCAGTGTAATTCACACTTGTCTCCATGGGGCTCAGAGTCTGAGCATCTTACCTGGAGGATGTCTCCAAACTCAGCAAAGAGCAGCTGCTTCAACTCCTCCTTGCATAGTGAGGTGGAGTCCCCATTCTCTTTGGCATATTTCTGGAACACCTTAATCACGGTGAGTATGCTGTTCAGGAGTTCGGTCATTTTGGCAAAGATGAAGGAACCTAAAAGAAGAAACATTATATTGTCTGTATTTATAATGAAGACCAGGAGACAGCATTTCCAGAGGAAAAGTGGCCCCTCTTGGTCAGGGAAAAAATTTTAAGAAATGACAGAGCTCATTGTTAGCTATACTCTTCACTCTCTTTGACCCACAGTCAGACTCCAAATATCATGTGTACAATGGAATAAAGGTGAAAACTATGTGTCCCCTGCTATAAAAAGAGATGATGTCCTAGAATACAAAATATTATAGGGATTTTATATGCTTTGTCTTCTACTTCAGGTGGGACTTGCTTGACTGAAACGCTCATATTAGAACAAAAAGGAAGGGAGAGCAGGAAGGCCATAGAGGTAGGGCCAGAAGCCCGTATGATAAGGCACAATTTTCTACCAATGACCAACACTCTGAAGAGGGCACTCAGTAGATCCTCTGAAAAGGCCTCAGTCTTCTAATGAGCTTCACTTAGGTGGGTAAGAAGGCTAGAGGTCTCTTGCCATGTGCCAAGGAAGCTTTCTGAGAGACTAAATTCCAGCAAGTGCTTCTGGCCTGCATGGTCATGTTGGAATATTATAAATATATTGCAAGTAGAATAAGTGGATATAAAAACTGTTATAGATAAAAATAGAAAGCTAAATTAACTGCATAGATGAGAAGAAATATGTACAGTCAGATAGGTTTACAGAGCTATGTTGGGAGGCTGGAGTCTTTTGGGATCTCCATCTCAATAATATTTCTTCTATGATGTAAAAATTCTAGTTACTGAGTTTGCAGGCCTCTAGACTAAAGTCCTAACTGCAAAGCACACCGTATTTCCAAAAGCATGCCAGTGATGCCTCTAAGGATGAGTGGCATATGATGAATTGCAGGGCACAAGCAGAGTCCCTTATGGCAATTCATTGCAATGAGACTTGAATATTATTGTGGTCCCATGGTCTGGGGCCTTGGCCCTAATGAGCCCTAAACTCTTGGGTCTGGCCTAACTTGCACAAAAGGGAAATGCTCCGCTATGGGGGACTAATTTATCCACCAAGAGTTCTAGTCTTTCATTTTGGGATGCCTAGGACACAGAGAAACAATGGCATATGTATTTTACAGACTCCGAAGTACATCCCTCCCCCTACCGCCTTGAGCTATCATATTCTCAGATAGAGGCAAAAAAGGAAGTAGGAAGGTACCCAAGGCCACAGGGAGTAGTCTTTGACCTCCCCAGCCCAGCACATCACAGCCCCTACCAAGAGGCTCTTGGATTCTGCTGTTGCTTCCCCATACATGTCTTACCTGCTTAAGGAGGTATCAGCAGAAGATTCAGAAGTCAGAGAGGATACTGGACACCTGCAAACACATCCTATTTATAGTGGTTTTAATTGTCCTGCTAGACCATCCCAGGAGACACCCATTCTGTGGCAGAACCTGAATCACTCTGGGCCCAGCCCAGCTTGACCCTCCCTCTGCAAACCGTTTGATTTATTTACTTCCCCCATTTACTCATGAACCTGTTGTCATTACAGTAGGTGACACTGTTCAAGTCCTGGCCCCATTTAATTAGGGGAGTGTGTGTGTATGCATACATGCAGCTGCTGCTGCTGCTGCTAAGTCGCTTTAGTCATGTCCGACTCTGTGCGACCCCATAGATGGCAGCCCACCAGGCTCCCCCATCCCTGGGATTCTTCAGGCAAGAACACTGGAGTGGGTTGCCATTTCCTTCTCCAATCATGCCTGCAGCAGGGGTCCCAAAAGACAGAGGCATGGGCCAAGTACATCCTTAGCATGTGTCACTTATCAAGACTAATGGAGGGCAACAGTCAAATCATACCAAAGAAGGATACTAATCAGGTCACAGCACAAAAATCTGTCAAAGCAGAGACTAGAGACTCTAGGGAGAGAGCCAGGACATAATTATTGGAAGAGATTTGTTTCAGGTTGTTTTGCTAATGTAGGGGTGTGTGTGTGTGTGTGTGTGTGCACGCGCGCGCACGCACGCGTGAATGCTCAGTCATGTCTGACTCTTTTCAACCGCATGGACTGTAGCCCGCCAGGCTCCTCTGTCCATGGCATTTCCAGGCAAGAACGTAGGAGACAGTATTATCCTCTTTCTCCAGGGTATCACCTTTATCCAAGGATTGAACTCATGTCTCCTGTATTGGCAGGCAGATTCTTTACCACTGTGCCACCTGGGAAGCCCAGTGGAAGTGGATATGTGTATTTTAATCTATTGATCTATTTTTGATATTTGTTACGTTTCCATTTTTTAAAAATTATTTTTTAATTTTAGATTGTGCTGGGTCTTCATTGCTGTGCATAGGCTTTCTCTAGTTGCTGTGAGTGGGGGCTTCTCTTTGTTATGGTGCCCTGGCTTCTCGTTGTGGTGCCTTCTCTTGTGGCACCATGGGCTCTGGGTGCTTGGGCTTCGGTAGTTGTGGTACATGGGCTTAGTTGCTCTGCAACATGTGGGATCTTCCTGGACCAGGGATCAAGCCTGTGTCCCATGCACCGGCAGTTGGCTTCTTAACCACTGGACCACCAGGGTAGTCCCTTTAAAAAAATTTTTCATTTAACAGTTCTATAGGCTAGAGGGAGAATTAGATATATGACCAATTTTGGTATGGAGGGGTGTGATGATAGTGGAGCTGCCACCACCAGAGACTTTTAAGTTCTTGCTAAAAAGTTAGAATTGAAGGACAGTGTGGAAGTTCATGATATCTGTGAATAGAACCATTTGTCAGAGACCTGAGTCTCTATTCTCCATCTCTGTACCTGTGACATGCCAGCAATATCGCAAAACAAGAGATTCTTAGTAAATGTTTTTGGAGTAAATGAACTATTGAATTATGGAGGCATTTAAAAATCTTGTGTAAAGTGCCAAAAAAAAAAAAAAATCTAGATTTACCTATCCTTTCTAATCTGTCTTACATCTAGATCCCTGGTTGGACTTTTTCCTAGGTATCTGTACATCAATCAGTTTTTAGTGATGACACTTGCTATTATTTACTGTGTTCTCAGGATTCTGAAAAGGAATCACAAAAGAACAGAGATACTTTGGTCCAGTTCTAATAAAGTAGCTTCACATACAGAAGGATTTTGAGCACAAGGAGCAGGACAGGAGAAGTGCTGAGTGTTAGAAACCCCAGGAGCATAGGGAATCGTCATGGCTGAGCTTAGACTTCCCTTAGAAGGTGGGGGTTTATGTTGTTCCTTGGAGATTCAGGTGGGCATGAGAAAATGAGAAATCCTGGTGGGAGAAGGGAAAGACCAAAGATACAAAGGTGAGAATTCATAGGGTGTGTTTTGATTAGAGTGAGTTGGTGAGTCTGGCTAGAGCAGAGGGTATACAGAAGAGTAAAATTACAGAATTTTGGATCTGAAAGGAAATGTAGTCAGCTTCCTAATTTTACAGATGAGGAAACTGACATCCAGCTAGACTGAGTGACTTTGCCAAGGGTCTCACAGGGCTTTGGCTAAAGCCAGGCCTGGAATCCTCATTCCCTTACCCAGCTCAACATGCTTTCTTACACATTCTCTGAGGCAGCTTTGGAGCCTGCTTTCAGGTTTATTTTGATGAGAAATGGGGGACTGGGAACATTTTAGTCAAGAAAGTGACACGAGCAAAACATTGAGGGAAGACTGTGGTCAGTTAAGGTTGCCAGCTGTCTCCCTAGATACCCCCTCCGCCTCTGGCTTTAGTGAGGTTTCCCCAGGAAATGAGACTTGCAGTGCTAAAACTATGAGATTTCTGAGCAACCTGGGGGGAAGTGGTCACCTGAGACCAGGGGTCCCCAACTACTGGACTGCAGAGCAGTACTGGTCCATGGGCTGTTTGAAACTGGGCTGCACAACAGAAGATGAGCCATTGGCAAGTGAGTGAAGATTCATCTGCTGCTCCCCATCACTCACATTACTGCCTGAACCACCCCCAACCCACTCCCTGTCTGTGGAAAAATTTTCTTCCATGAAACTGGTCCCTGGTGCCAAAAACATTGGGCACCACTACTCTAGACTGTGCTGTCCAGGATGGATTGGAAAGAGGAACGTCCAACAAGGGAGACCAGTTAGGAGTTTATGGTATGACCCATGTGGAAAGTGATAAGGGCTTTGACCTGGATGCAGAGGTTCAAAATGATAGGGAGGTAGCAGATGATAGGAGAAGAGGGCAGAAGAAGGAGAAGAGGACATTAGAGGATGAGATGGCTGGATGGCATCATTGATGCACTGGACATGAACTTGGGCAAACTCCAGGAGATGGTGAGGGACAGAGAGGCCTGGCATGTTGCAGTCCATGGGGTTGCGAAGAGTCAGACATGACTGGGCGACTGAACAATGACAGCAACAACAGCAAATGATAGAAGGAAAGATGGGATTTGGGGACGTTAGATAAGGGCAGGGGAGGTGGAGAACTCAGGGCATAGGGGATAGGGGATAGCTCCAAATCTTCAAGCCTGTGTAACTAGGAGAACTGGGGTACTAAAGAAATGTGACTTCTGAAGTGGGCCGAGCAGGGTGGAAGACTCGTTTCCTCCACTGACATTCCACAGGGTTTCTGCCTTGTGAAGTTCTGTCACCCTACCTCCAACCCGCACCCTCTGCTGTTGCAGTTCTTGCAGTGCTGGTCACAACTTTAATATTGAGCTCTGGGTCATGTAAATATTCTCCTTCTACTTTTGTGTCTCAACTTATGAGTTATGTCTCTTGTAATATGTCTATTAGAACTAAAAACCCAGAGAAGTTTTGGCGACCCCAGAGATAAGTAAAGGGAGTGGAGGTGAAGTGAATAGGGGTTAAAGACAACAGGAACTGTGACAGAAAGGGGCAACATTGAGGCTCCTTTCTGTTGGCGTCTTCCAGGACTCCCTAGGAACTGTTTCTTCGAGTTAGATGAAGAGTTCTCTGCCTGATGTAGTCAAGAGAAAGATGATGTTCTTAACAGTAGGATCTGCTATGTGTGCATGCACTTAACACTTAGGAAGTTCATATAAGACAAGCAGAG